TTTTGCTTTTAAAACCACCTTAATATGTAAGCAGCAGCTCTGCCATTTACAGTTTATATTGAATTACCTCCTAGATATATAGAAAAAAGGAGATTTAGGACATAAACATACACACATATTGACATACAGAAGCACCAACACATACTGATATGCAAAAGCTCCAACTTTGACAATTTGTAATGGGTGGGGGGGTTGATTATGCCTCCACTGGAGCCACACACACACAATTGCTGCATGTGTGTGGCTTCAGGATAACCTTCCCCACAGGCCCATTCACAATTTGGTTGATTTGCTAATTGTTTCACCCTGACAAGGAGAAGACAGCAAGAGCAGAAAGGCTGTTTTCTTCACCAGTACATCCCCAAAGACCACATGGACATTGGTAAGACTCTGCCTGGATGGTGCCATCTTATCAAAAGCAACCAGATCAAGCTTCAGACAAAGGCCAACTTATAGGCCCCATTTTCCAAATGGAGAATTAATTTCACTAAGGGGGAGAAAGAAGGCACCACCAAAACTTGGTCTGCGACCATTCATGGCTTGGGTTTGTGTTTCACAGAGACCTGGCTTGTACATTAGGCTGATCAGCTGTGACGCTTGAGCCAGAGCAGCTGACAGACGCATTTGCAGCAGTGAAGGTCCCTTCTGTTAGCACTACGCAGATTCCTCTTCTCCCCTGGTGCGACTCACTGAGCCCTCCAGCAAATAGGGCTGAAATTCCTCCCCATGCAAACCCAAATAAACTCTTAACAAGTTCTGCTTCCATAGAGTCAGGAAGCTTTGTGCTCCTCTGCACCTGATTTGAAAGATTTAGGAACTAATCAGCATGGTTTAACTTCACAGAGAAGACGTGCTGTGCAGGGTGAAGTAGAAGAGCTTCAGTGCTGGCTGAGCAGCTTCGGCTTGTCGAGACCCTCGGCTGCCTGTATAACCCATTTCCTCAGGCACAGGTCTGGGGTTGCAGGGGAAAGAAAGAGACATGCAACAGGACCACAGCTGCCTACAGCCCTTCCTTGGAGCATCCTGCTCCGATGCCAACTTGGGAATTAGCGCAAAGCCTTCTGATGTGTGATTCGGCAGCAGGAGCTGAGCTCCAACATCTGTGCTACTAAGCCCACTTCATATTTGGCCAGGGAGCTTTCAGCTGACCACAGCTCCCAGCCATCACCTACAACTGCACAGTCAGCAAAAGCGAACTCTCAGGAAAAGACAATATTATGAATAATCAGGTTCATGTCCTTCTGCAGCTCCCCTTGGGGTCCCAAATATTCCCCACAAGCAAGTGAACCAGTCTGCTTTCAGAGGGACTGCAAGATACAGCAAGGGAAACAAAACCCTCTTACTGAGGCTCTGTAGCTACTCATTCCTGCTATTTCTACCCTCACCCCTCCTCCTGTCCATATTATCTGCAGTTTCTCCTGGGACTCTTCAAGACAGGAGCTATCTCCATACCCCTCCCCATGCAGAAGCACAGAAGGAATATCCAAAACTAGGGGGTCCTGCTGCTTATAAACATTGTTCCTTGCGTTCAAACTCTCTGAGCAGAATTCTCCATCATTTTCAAATGGGTATGCTGTGGTTTGCAAGTGGCTGTAAGGTGTTTATAGATTGTATCCTCCAACCCACTTAACACTTCCAGCTGCTACAAAGAGACAGTTTAGCCGCAAAGAAACCCAGACCCCAACACCAGAGAACAACAGACAAAAGGGAGGCTGCAGAAATCCTCTATCTATCTACCCGCAGGAAGTTTAATTCATTGTGGAAGAGGGAGGAACAAAGACAAAATTATTTTCTGGATGAATTTAAGACACAGAGAAATGATCCTTCTTCAGTCACCTCCTTTGTACCCAGGTTCCCACCACACAGACAAGAAAGGTTTGCTACCCCAAAGGTAGTCCTGTGAACAAAAAAATCAGAAAACCCACACACGTTAGAAAACAGGCAGCTGCCTCTGTGTCCCATCTTCAGTACTCCCACAATGCTGAGCAACCACCAAAAGATATCTCAAGCACACTGGATGCACATCTACCAGGTGTTGCTGTGGTTTCAGTACCATCACGTGCCACTTCTTCTGCAGCCACCCAAACCAACTGCTTTGCTTTCCTACCTACCCAGCTATCTGATAAGAATACAAACTGTGGTGCAAGGCTTGTACCTGAACTTGTAATTAACACTCTCTTGCTCCTACAAATACAACTTGTAAAATGCAAATTGGTTGCCAGTAAAATGATTTTTTTTTTTAAAGAGAAAGAAAAATAAAAATAAAAAAAAAAGGAGGAGGAGAATGGGGAAGATGAGACCACTCTAATAACAGCAGATTTTGGAAGATTTGAAATCCTGCTCATACACCCTTTCCCCTCCAAAAGCTGCACTGAAATTACATTTCAGTTTCCTGCTTTTACAGCTTATTAGACATATTGTGGCTGACTACAGACTTCTATTTTTAATTTTACAAAGCAACAATGCAAAGTGTTTGCCTTTTTTTTTTAATAAAAGATCTCTTTCTTCCTACATATGCTGATGAAAGTAAATTTTTTCCCATTCCAAGCCAGTTTTGCTCTCTCTGCCATGGCATAGCGATCCAAGGCTGCCTCCGTCATAGATGGTCCCTGCCTTGGTCCCCCAAGGATGCATCCCCTGGGCAGTTTGCAAGCAGCAGGGTCTTTCCAAGGTGAAAAAAGGATTCAGCGCCCCAGGGTGGCTTTTTAATCCTGCCTAACACCTCCAGGCAACAGATGCATCAACAAGAAGCGGCTTTGTCATGTAAATGGCAGGGCACAGGTACACACAGCAGGGCTGCTCCATGCACAAATGGCCGGGGGCTGCCACCCCAGGGGACACATCCACCTCCAGCGCTTGCTGATCTCGGCTGCTCCTTGCCCCGGACATATCCTCCATGAGAGGACAGCAACAGCAAACCTGCGGGGCAGTGGTGGGGACCTCACGAAGGTGAACAGGCAGAACCATGCGGCACTGGAGCGATGGTTGGCCACGAGTGAGCGTGTCATCTTCTGGATGCAGCGTTTTGATCTCGCACGCATTAAGACCCAGCTGTCAGCTAGGAGACTAACGAAGATTATAGTTCAATTAAACAAAAAAATTATTTAATAACTCAAGCGTGTAGCCTTGTGGTTAAACTGAATGAACTCCAGGCTTATGTCAACATTGCAGCCCTGCAACAGAACTATTTTACCAAAATAGTGGTGCTGCTCGAACATGCAAGAGCAACACTGAACTAAATTAGCCCCTCAGATGTTCGGCAGGCAGCTTCACAATTAGAAAGCAGATGTGTTTTCCCCCTCCTCCCCTCCAACGTACACATGTAGGACAGTTCCTCAAGTACCTGAGCTGACAGCCTCCCGCAAGAAGCCAATATTGTGGGGGTGTTGATGCCAAACCAGTGCAGAGCAGCAGCCCCACGGCATGCATACGCAGAGAAAATCCTCAGTGAAGAATTAAACTGGATTTTGTTGTTCAAAGCCTTGCACCAGCACTAGGGACTTTCTTAGGAAGGTAACGTGGGAAAGAGGGGTAAAAGAAGGTCTGAAGTTTCCCAGGCTTCTAAGGGGAAGGTTTGAGCCCTCAGCTTCAGTGCCCTCTCTTGAAGCTGCATGCTTTTCCCCACAGTACATCCAAACTGAAGTTTTCTGTACAGCAGCATTTACAATGACAAATACCAACAGACCGTGGTCATCATGCTTCACCCTAAATGGCTGTAGGCTTCTCAACTGTAATTTAAACTCAACCCACCCTGTCCCCCCCCAGCTACGAACAGCAACATACTGCATGAGGTTTTGCAAACCTTTCAAACACAAATGGTAACATATAAAGAGGAGAGATCCGTGTGCTTCCCAGTGCCAAACTGCCCTGTCGTTCCAAATCCAAACATCCACTAATTTAACACACTTTGCTACTGTCAATTACCAATACAGATTAGGCCCCCTCTTTTTTGCTTTTGAAAAAGTTACAACCTGAAGAAAAATCAAGAACGCTGGATGAGCAAAATAATGCCAGTTGTTTGACAGAGACCGACAAGTGAAAATTTAAGAGCAAGTAACATAGAACACAGCTTTACCACAGGGAAGTAACAGCATACAACTTCCCATATCACAGCACATACAACTGCAGCGGGATTTTTCAGCAGGATGCCTGCAGCAGATTTGTTTCCTGCTCCTCTCTGGTTCTACTAATATAATTTCCACAGCTTGTTTTAACATTGCCTCCCCATCGCTCTATATGTATACCAAGAGGATTACAAAAATAACTGAGAATTGACTACTCAAAATTAAAACTACATTAAAACCCATTGAAGGTGCATCTACACCAATGGAAGCAGAGGGACCAACCTGGAAGAATCATTGCCTGCCATAATGTAAGGGAAAGCTGTAACTACTGCAGCACAGTTTATATTAATTCCTAAATGAGTGTTTCACAATTTGTGGCTGAAGATACAGAGAGTGTTTCAAAGCAATGCTGCCAGATACATAAAGCCCTCATGCAGAGCAACTGATGGCAGAAATAAATATCAATCAACAAAGAGCAATGCCACATCTGAAGGGAAAAAAAAAAAAAAAATCCAATCTTTTCATCTTATTGACAACCAACTTCAGCAGTTCTGCTTCCAGCCCTCAATTTTCCCCAACAAACGAAGAGTTAAAGCCAGAAAATTCACATTTGTCCCAGTCACTACAAAGATGGCATTTACATCATTCCGCCATACACTATCCTACAGTTGTAAACCAGGGCTCCCCCCTCAAAGCCCCCAGCCCTGTTCAAAGGATGTCAGACACCACAGACGTTAATCTCAGCTTTTCCACTGCGATCATGACCAACGCATCTAAGAGCTCTCAAACTCCAGGGGACGGAGGCTCTGAAGAGCAGAAGTGCAACCTTCACCATAACTGAAGCTACTCAAAAAAAACCCGGCATGAACACACACTGAAAGCTGAACAGGAGGAAACCCAGCTCGCCAAAAACGGTCTTTGGAAGAGATAACTCACTGTTCTGGGAATGGGTGGCGACAGAGATCCATTAGGCATGTATGGGTCGTTATTCATATTTGGCATCATGATATACCCAGAATAACCAGAGTATGATGGTCCCTTGCTGTATAAGCCACTGTCTGGATGCTTTCCTATGGAAGAGCAAACAATGATTACATTATTGCCCACATATGCATTTCTTGTAAGTTAGAGCACTTAAACAGGTATTGTGCATTCATAAAAATATTTTGCATGCAAATGTTTCTTTACTCATGGAGATTGCCTTTGACAGAGAGGGAAATGCAGAGATTTGTAATAACATTTTTTAAGATGAGTTAATTCTTAAAGGAGCAAGTACTCTCAGTGAGGAGTTTATGCTTAAAATACGGAACAGCCTCAGAGTAACCAATTTATTTTGTAAGTCTCTGTTCAAATCCAGGCAGAAACATCAGCAATGACATTACATTTCTCAAGTAGCAGTTTCCCCCCATTTTATACATCCCTCTAGGATCTGTGGATTCAGAAGTATTGCCAGTATCGGTTTCCAGCATCACTGTTAGAAAAGGGAGGAACAGGGTAGTGATAACTAGATATAATCATTTCCTTCTCTTGCTGAGCCACTGCGTGCAGCAAACAATTCATTCTGGCCATGCTCACAGGCAACAATTAGAGGGCAGAGGCTGGCTTGGAAGGAGACCCTAACAATTTTGGGAGGTGGGGGTGGGCTGTTGAACACACATGGCATTACAGACAAGAGAGAAGCCAAGTGAGGACAGCTGTTTTGTAGGAAAATAAAGAATTTGAGTCCAGGTCCCGAAAAGAGGAGTGAACAGGTCTCCCACCTACATGACTGGTGACAGTGCTACTACTTGAAAGTGAGGTTTTAAGAGGATTCAAAGCTGAAATTATACCAAGCTGACCTCCTCCTCCTCACTGCAAAGATGCTGTGAACATGGGCATTACTGTTTTTAGGCTGTTTACAAACCAATTCAGATTATGGTTGCCACAGAATCCCAGAAAGCACCAAGACTGAACTGTGCCTGTCTTTATATGGAATTTATGAACTGGTTTAGTTCATGATGATAAGCATTTCATTTTAAACATAATCTCCCATCTTTCACAGCACATGTTCTTTGTGCGTGTGTCCAGCTTCCTAAGTGATATACAGCGAACTCTGTCATTTCCTCTGTCCTCCTCAATCAAAATTAACCAGCTGGTATGTTAAAAAAAGCAAGAGGTCTGCTCATGCTTAGATTTGAAAGAGGAAATTTAAGTCACAGACTTTGGCTATGGAGAAAAAGCACTGAGTTTCTGAACACACACAACTCGGCTGCACTGTATGAGTGAAGAGATAGATGTGTTTAAGCTGATATCCTAAAAATAGTTATTTCTTCAGCAAAGATCCATTTGGCCTACTTATCAGTTTCTAAACAACTGAAATACCATTTGGTCACTCAAGATAAACGTCCTGCACATTGATTTCCTTTTTAAATGTGCTTTGAAAGCACCCTGGCATCCCTCTCCCCCAAAGGGTACTAAATTTATGTTTCCCAAAAGAAACCCTGCTCCAGTTTGTGGACCATGTGGAGGCTTCACAGGGGGACTAGGAGGGACAATATTGCAAGACAGGACCATGCACTTCTCACCTTCCTCGGGGTGCTCTCTGCCTTTATCATGGTAGGAATCTGGCGCTTGATTCTGCCTGGAAACCTGACCGAAGGGAATCCACCATAAGAAAAGAGTGAGAAAAAGGAGAAAAGTCATTGTATGGATGCCCATCTATCTGCCACAGCGCTACAGCTTCTTGTAGAAGGAGAAAAAAAGAACAAGAGATAAGCATCTTTCTTTTCCGTCTTAAGTGGCCTGGAAGACAACTATACCAGAAACGTTTGTGTAAACGATCGTTTTATGGCAACGACAATAACTACGGAGCTTTGCAATGCGTTTCTAGCAGAAGCGCCCCTACATTTAACGAAAGAGGCTTATTTCTGGAAAACATTTGTAGCTTTGGTGGCCAAAACACTATTGGTAAAAAGATACAAAAAATAATAATGAAAATCAGGTTGCCCTCATTACCAAACCTCTAGGGAAGAAAAAAAAAGAAGGAAAAAAATAGCAAAAAAATAAACACTCACACAAAAAATTTAAAATCCTCGCAGGTTCCCCGCTCTCCCTAAAGTTGTTTTAGTGTCGGGTATTTCTTCCCAAACAGTTTTATGCAAATCCTTCAAAGAGTTTACGGCTACTGCTCCGACCCCGCGTATTTTACCGAGGAAATTTCATGGCTGCTTGAGGTCTCATACCACGGCACGTCGGGGGACTCGCGGGAACTTTCTCGTCCCGGGCCAAAGCGCGGAGGGGGCCGCCCCCACCTCCAGCCCAGCGGAGGGGTGCGGAGCCCGCTCCGCTTCCCCTTGGTAAAGGGAGTTCAGTTGGGATGAGGTTTTTCATTTAGGGGAAATTCGGAAAACAGGGGTTTCCCTGATGCCCCACCGAACCTCCCTCCCTCCCGGCGGCAGCGGCCGGACCCCAACAGTATCCCGTGCCCCCCTTTGGCCGCTCCGAGCTGCCCCGCGGAGACTCCGCGGCCGCGCACCTCGTGCCCGTTGGCGCCGGGGGCGATCTCGGACTCATTGACGAGGGACGACTTGATGTCGGCCAGGTCGCCCTCCTCCTCCGGGTGGCTGATCTCAGCGAAGATCTTCTCCTTCTGGGGATCCCCCTCGTCCTTGAAGGGGATCATCTCGTCGGTGGCGCAGAGCTCCGGGTCCCCCCCACCGCCCCCTGCCCCCGGCAGCTGCGGCATCCTCACGGCAGCGCGGCGTCTGCTGCGGCCGCCGGCCCGCCGCGGGAAGGGGAGCGGGAGGAGCAGCGGGGGGAGGAGGAGGAGGAGGGAGGAGGAGAAGGAGGAGAGAGGAGAAGAAGGAGGAGAGAAGAAGGAAAAATCCCGTGAAGTCCTCGGGGTTGCTCTCGGCAGCTGGAGACCCCCGCCCGCCTGCGCGCCCCCTCGGGGCCGAGGTACCCCTACTCCCGCACGGCCCCGGCCCCGCGGGGAGCCTGACCCCGCCGCGCCGCACGGCCGGAATAGGTCGAAATGCTCCCGTTTGTATCCTGCCCGCCCCCAGGGACAGCGCCAGGACCCGCCTCCCAGGAGCCCAGTCCCCCCACTCATCCCCACCCCCGGGACCCGGGCTCACCCTGGGGGTGAGGGTACGTGGAGGGGAGCGCAGCCCTCCCGAGTTTCGCCTCTGAGTGAAGTTGCCGCCACCCGGGCGGGTTCGAGTTAAAATGGCTGGGGGGGACGGGCAGGGGGAGGGGGCGCCCCGGGGGACGGCGCTGCCCTCGGCGCGTACCCAGCGGGCCTTTGTCCACAGCTTCGCCCGCGGCAGCGGGCACGGCTGGGCTCGGCGGCACCGCGGGGAGCGGGGGCGAGGAAGCGGTCCCGGGAGGAAGGGAGGGCAACAATGAGGGAGGGATGGAGGGGGTGGCCGAGGATCCCCCTGCTTCCCTCCACGCCCCCGGGCAGGGAAAAAAGTTGCCGCCGCGGCGCCTCCGCGCCGCCGGCAGCCTCCGTGCTCAGGCAGGGCCCGGCGAGGAGATGGTACCGCTGCCGGTGCCGGCGGGCACGGCGCCCTCCGGGGGGGCAGCGGTAGGGCGCGGGGCGGTGGCGGCGCAACTTCAGCATCGCTCACGCCCTCCCTCCGCCGTCGGGGAGGAGCGGGGACGGCGAGGATGAAAGGAGCCGCCGCCGTGACTGACAGCGCGCCCGGGGCGGGGGGGCCGGGCGGCGGAGAGCGGAGGGCGCCGGCGGCTCTTTGGGGAGCGGGTGTGAGACAGCCCGCGGGCAAACTGTGGTCGGGCTGCGCCGAGAAGCCTCCGTGTGTTTCTGTGTGTCTACATGTACTTGTGTGTGTGTGTGTGCCGAGCCGGCCACTGCCGCTCCCATCCCTCCCTCCCAGCCAGGAGCCCGTCGAGGCAGGCGGAGGCACTCGCTGTATCCCGCGGCAGACCTGCTTTTTTAGGGCTGCTTTGTTGAGACTTCCCCTTTGGAAGGGGTAAAAAAGGGGGCCTGCTGTGGTCGCATGGAGCTGCTCAGGTGTGGGGAGCAGGGGCAGCGTGCGAGGATTTGCCCGAGCGCTTCCCGTGCCCGCTTGGGACGAAGGGCAGAATTAACACATCCCTATGGAGCCCAGCAAGTTCCCGGCAGAAAGGTGTACCGACCCCGAGCGGCAGCGAGGAAAAGGCCCGGTATCAGACCAGTACATGGAGCCAGAGCAGTCACTGAGATTCACCCCTCCGCTCCGTCCCGCTCCTTCAGCAACCGCGCTGCCCCTTTAGCTCCCGGGCGGCACGGCATCATCCCGGTGCAGAGCGCAAGTGCATTTAAATAAGATAAACAAAAAATAAAAAAGGAAAAAAAAAACGTTCAAACAAAAGCAGGCGCTGCGTTTGGGAAACTTCGGGATCCGCAACTTCTTTTATACTGCGAACACGATGCGCTCACATTTTGCAGGAAACAACTTCCCATGATTTTGGCATCGGAAAAGTGCGCTTCGTGCTGTGCACATGCCCCGCGAGGTTCCTGAACCTTTAAGCGTCGGAAGACGGAGGATCAGGAACATGTGGATGCTCGATCCGTTTCCAGCAGCTGCTGGGCTAGGGCGGGCGAACGGGGAGAACGCCCCCTCCCACCCCACTCCTGCCTCGGCACCAACCTCCACGGACGAGCAGTCACTATCCAGATGAGAAACAAGACCCGCAAGACCCAGGGAAAGGGGAGAAGGGGGATGGACTCCTCATGTCGAAGAAGTGCGTAAAATAAATAATCGAGAAAGAAAGAAACTGGAAATGTAAACCCTGGGAAGGGGTTTAATCGTGCGGCACTCCGGGGTGCAGGGGAACCCTCTCTGCCCCGAAGTTGGCTGGAGAGAGGCGATCGGGAAGCGGTTGTTTGGTAAACGCAACTCGGGGATGTGTGTGCGATAAGATGCCGCCGCATCCCTCCCGCCCCTTTCCTCTTTCCCGACTCTCGGCGGGCAGCGGACAACCGGGCCAGTCCCAGGTGCCCCGGGCTGCTCCCTTCGGTCTCCCGTACTTCCCCAACCTGGGCGAGAGCCCGAGCGTGTCAGCTTCCCCTTCTCCCGGCGGGGCGGCCACGCCCGAGAAGGGCAGGAGTCCCCGCCGGAGGGGCCGGCATTGCGGCAGTCCCTCTGTTTCGTTACCGGGTCTCTCTGGAAAAGCAGCCTCCCCTCGCCCCTCCGCCATCCCGATGTCCCCCCCTTCATGTGGGCTGGAGTTTTTCCAGAATCAGGTTTTGGTGGAAGGATTTTGAGGGCAGAAAAGGACGGGGAAAGGAGGGGGGGGGGGGGGGGTTGGGGGAGAGAGGAAGGGAGAAAGGGAGGGGGAGCGGACGGCGACGGGGCGGTGGGGGAGAAGGTGGAGATAGTAATGATTTATGACAAGAGGATAAACTCAGGAAACCTCAACTCCAATGCCAGATTTCACTGGAGACGACGCAAAGCTGTCTCTTAACTCGCAGTTCGTGGGGCTGAGGAGGGGGGCACGGCCGAGGAACGGGAGGAAAGGCCCCGGGTAAAGGCCCCGGGTAGTGGTGCCCACCCCACCCCGCGCCTAGCAGGATCGCGCTGCCTTCCCCGCTCCGCCAGGAGAGTTCCCACCGCCGTGCCCGCTGCCGTCCGGCTCCCGGCTGAACCCCTGTTCAGTACTTAAGCGGGGGTTATGTTGGGGGTTTAGATGCAGGTTTTTTCTTTCATTTTAGCGTGGTTTTGTATTTTCCTGTATTTTGTTTGGCTCATTTTGCACATTATTGCATTTTAGGTGTTTTGCTTTTTTTTTTCTCCCCCCCCCCCTTTTTTTTAATCGTTTGAGCAGGTTTTGTGTTTTAGAGTCCGGTATTTTGGGGGGTTTGGGGGTTGGTTGTTTTATTCTTGCGGGGCGGGAGCTTGGCGCACTCCCCGACGGCCAGCCCATCTCCGGGGCCGGGGGGCGAGCAGGGACAGGAGGGAAACCGGACGCTGTCCCCGGGGGTGGGGGGGGAGGAGGAGCAGCACCCCCGACCAGCGCAGCTGGACAACCCCCGGGGAGTCTCGGGGGAAATGACCGAGGAGAGGGAGGAACTGGGGTACCGGGTACCCCCCCGGGGGGGGGGTGCAATAAGCCGGGGGGGTAGGGACACCCTGGCGTGTGGAGCGCCGTCCGCCGCCGGCGGCCCCACTATAGGGACGGGAAGGGGGGGCGGGGCGGCGGCGCCTTTGATGTCCTGTCGGCGGCCCCTTTCATCCCTCCCCGGCCCCCCCTCCGGGCCCTTTGTGTGACTAAATTTGGCAGGAGGCTGGAGGCGCGCCAGGGCGCCCACGTGTGCGCCGAGCTCCCAGCTGAGCGGGCGAGGGATCTCTTCCGGGTAAGGAGACAGCGGGGGAGATCAAAGAGTTTGGGGAGCTGGAGCCGAAATGTGCAGTGGAAATAAAATAATAATACAAAAAAAAAAAAAAAAAAAAGAAAATCCTCCGGGCGGGCCGCGTGCCAGCCCGGAGGCACGGCGGAGCGGGGGGAGCGCTGCGCACATGGTGGGGAAGGACCGACCGGCGGGAAGGAGCTGGTTTTCTCCGGGAAGGGAAAAAATAGAATAAAAATAAAATATATTCTTGCAGTGGGGGAGGGGCCGCAGTTATTTTCTGCTGAAAAATAGAAGAAGACTTGACCAAAATCCCGAATCCTTTTGTTTAAAACCACCGGGCTGTGGAGCCAGCAGTGCCGCCCGACGGCGCGTCCCTGCGACCGGCCCGGTCGGGACTGCGCGGCCCCGGGGTAAACTCTCTTATACCGATCGACACAGGAGCAGACAGCGGCCAAAAGCCCGTTTACACACGCCCAGTGGCCAGTGCCAGTTTGGAGAGAGCCTTTCTAAGCAAACTCTCCGCGGGTTTTCCTTCCCCGGGAGGAAATGTCGCGGGTGGCCCCCGAAGGGTGAGCGCGCTGGGGGCGGGCGCCCTTTGCGGCAGCCCCCGCTGTGCCCTGTGGCTTCCCGGTGGGAAGGCGTGCACCCCGCTGCTGAGGGGCTGTGAGGAGCATGGGGGAGAGAACTGGGGTGCGGGAGGGGAGCCCCGGAGGGGCCCACCAGCGCCCTGCGTGCCCTGCCTGCCCCGGGGCTGTGGGGTGGCCACCCACCTCTGTGCTTCCGCTGCTCTCTCAGGACTGCAAAGCACAAACAGGGACGCGGGATTTCAAAGTCTCCCAAACCAAGCTTTTACAGTGCCTTTTCAAGGCAATGGGACTGCACTATGTGTGTTCCCTGGGTCTGTGTTTGGGACCCTATTTGGATAACACACCTGATCGATGTGCAAATCTAATATATAGGCTGAACTCCCGAATTTCTTCTGAAGCAGATAAATTCCTCTCCATCAGGATGTGGGGTGAGCAAGCCCTGAGCAGGGATGCGACATTACCCCTGGGCTCTTCAGCCTTATCACTGTGGCCTCCTGCACATGTTGCTGTTGCTGCACAGCACAGCTGGGAAGCCAGCTCTGGTCTGCCTTGGGATCCATGAATGTGTTTAAAAAATAGGGACCTGTTCCTTGCCTCTAAAACAAGGATAATATTTCTAAGCCTCCTTTTCACTCTGAGAAAAATGAGATGTTGCATGTAAGAGGTTCACCACTAGTTTAATGAATGCCTTAAGAAAGGCTGTAAATAACAGATCTGGATGGGTTTGGAGCAAGACCCAAAGCACCCTCACTGTTGTGTTGTATCAGGCAGATTGTCCCTTTAATAGTGCAGTCACTTTTCAGTGCTTTTGCAAATGCAGGTTCCAGATAGCTGGTGTGTCATTGGGTTTGGGTTCAGGTTTGGGTTGCAGACACTGGCCTACAGCCCCATAGCTTCTTATCATCATGGGTCGCCCTCTGTAGTCTCTAGATGTTGCTGGGGCTGTGGGGTTCTGAGTGATGAAACAGAGATGCCAGTCCCCGGGTGGGGGGAGGGCTTAAGTAGGGGTGGTGTGGAGAGGATTCCTCACCATGTTCATCATCATTTCCCTCACGGTGCCATGGTTGGATGAAGCCAAGAAGATGCTGCTGAGTGAAAGGAACTGCTCCATATTTGCCACAGATTTGAGCTTTGAATGGGGGAAAAAAAAAACAAAAAGGGAATGATGTGTACTGGTTTTGGAAACTCAGTTATTATAAGTCCTTATGAAATGCAGACTCATTTTTTAGAATTATAACAAAGTTCATCCTGGCTGTGTTTGTAGCAGCTATATCAAAGAGCATCTGCCCTTCTCGTTTAAAGCTACTTTGAAAGAGATCACATGTAATAGGTATTAGGATATTAAGAGTTTATATGTGCTTTTTGCTTTTTAATTTACACATCCAGCTTTCCAGTTCTGGGATGCCATTAATGTCCTTAGCTCAGAATTACTCTGTTTAAACAGCTAGGTTTTCTTAGCCCTTGCAGCAACACGGGCTTTATGAGATTTGAGTGGGTAAATCTCACCAGCACCTCTTTACTGTAAGAGCTTTTGTTTAGAGGAAGGCATTGGTGGCTCAGATCTCACAAATATGTTAAATTATCTTACTTTGAGATTAAAATAGTTAGCAGTTCAGGGGCTGCTTTCTTCATTCTTTAAGCAGAGGATAAAATAGAGGGGAAGTGATATGGTTTATTCAAATAAATGATGGTGTGATGTAGCTTGCGAACTAACCCTTACAGGAGCA